TTCTGGTGGAGTTTGAGGGAGAGAAAGAAAGACTTCTGCTGCTTTCCTTGCATGCACCCAAAAGTCTCTCTCTCTCCCCCCCTCCCCCTGAGAACGGAGCTGGAGACGGAATCCTGCGATCCCAAATAAAGAACGATCGATCGGTAGGAAAACCAGGCGGGGAATTTTCCTGCAGACTTTTTTTGGGGATTTTCCCAGGGTCTCTGGTCCGCGGGATTTAAAATTAGGAGTTTGGTGGTCCCTGAGGTCCAAAAGGTAGATGACCCCTGCTCCAAAACACCTGAAGGCAGGAGAAGAAGCAAGAAGCAGCGGATGGAAACTTACCAAGGACCTGGAATTAAGGAGACATTTCCTGACAGAACAATTCACTAGTGGAACAGCTGGCCTCCAGAAGTTGTCGAGGCTCCATCGCTGGAGGTTTTCATGAATTGACTGGACAGCTATTTGTATGGGATGGGTGCAGGGTCTCCTACTTGTGGAGGGGGTTGGACTAGAAGATCTCCAAGGCCCCTTCTAACTCTGATATTCTGTTGTTCCCTTTCTGGCAATCCCAAAGCAGCTCTTTAGGAGTTTTGGTGTTGTGAGGACGGGGCTTTCTGTCTGGTTTTGTGCCAGCTTTGCAAACTCAGCAAGAAAGGAAGTTTCCCCAACCCAAAATAGAAAGTCGTTTTTCCCACCTCCTTTAAAAGCCTCGTGACAATAAAAATGAATGACTCGGAGATTCCACTTCCTGGGGCGGGGCGGGGGGGGGGGAATCCCAATTCTGGCCGAGGGGAACCGTGGCTGGGATGTGTTGCTGTGGTGGTGTTTGTGAGAAACAGCCCCAAGGTCTCCTTGGCAACCTCTTTGTTGGCATCTCGGTCCCCATCCCTGTTTCTGGCAAAGAAGCTCTGTGTGAGGAGGAGGAGGAGGAGGAGTCATGAGGACTAGAAGGGCCACTTTGCTTTTGCGACCCAGAGCCCAAGATTCTCAGAGTGGGCAGGACGACTGCACAGATACCCGAGAAGGAAAAGGAGAAAGTTGAGGCTGCATCTTATTCTGCTGTGTTAAAAAGAGTCGGGTGTCAATGCTTTTCTTCCCCCCACTTTTATCCTACAGTTTTTCCTCTTCCCTTTTTCCTCCCTTACTTTCTCACTATTGTCATTTTTATTTGTATCTTATATTTTGATAAGCCAATGAAAAATTTGGAAGCATAAAAAGGAAAAAAAAATAGATACCCTCAAGGATGCCCTGTGGCCTTTTTGCCCTTCAGTGCCCGCGCCAGCAGCAACTGTTCCTTGCAATTGCTTGCTTGTGAGAAGCGGAAGAAAACTCAGCCCACAGGGAATGGGTGTGTGTGTGTGTGTGTGTGTGTGTCTGTGTGTTGCTTTCAGATTCGTCTTTCTAGTAATTGGTTGTGGTGAGCGTAATTTGTAACACTGAGTTTTCATATTCAGTTACATCTTGCAAGGCCAATATGAAATCAGAAACACGCGGGCACTCACCTGTTTCAACAGCTTGGCATGTGCCCACCTGCTTAAGCCTCACCCTGAACATTTTCGCCTCTTGGAAGGAGACTGGCGCACTGGCCGTCCTCGCCTTCCGGCTTCAGCTGAGCTGTTTTTGGCCACCGATCGGTTCCCAGAACCACAAATCCGTGCATTAAATTGCTCCACCAGCCCCCACCCACCCCTTTCCAAGTGATTGAATATCACCCCGATTCCGTCCTGGACCATCTGTATTGCCGAAAGCTTCCCTTGGCCCGTCCCTCTGGGTTCCCTGGACTCGGTGCAGCTGGCATCATCCTAGGACCGTGATGGTGAACCTATGGCACGCAGAGCCCTCACTCTGGGCATGTGAGCTGTCGCCCCAGGGCACACACCCGGGAGTTGCACGCGCAGGGGCGGGGTGCACGCATGTGGGTCTTGTGCACATGTACAGGGGGGCACAGATGCATGCGTGTGGGGGTGAGGCGCATGTGCGGAGCGCGTGTTTGCATTTTGGAGGTGCACGTGTGCACTTTGGGCACTTGGTGCCGAAAAAGGCTTGGTGCCATCACTGTCCCAGGAGCTGCATGGCACCGGCCCTCCTGCTGCAGACTTTGCCAAATTCAAGTCCAAACCGAACCCCTTCGGTCAAAATCTGTGGCGCTGAAACGGGAAGGAAGACCCTTGTCCAAGGCTGCAACGGCGGTTGGTGGGGGCCGAAAGAGGCAAAGCGGTTTCCAAAACGCAGAGACCGTTTGCACGTGGCCAACGATGGGTAGTCCTCCACGTACGACCACAGCTGAGCTCAAAAGGTCTGTTGCTAAGTGAGACCACGGTTTGGCCCCATTGGATGACGTCCCTTGCCACCGTTGTTAAAGCGAATCGTTGCAGTTTGTTAGGTTAATCCCACGGTCGTTAAGTGAACCTGGGTTTGCTTGTCAGAAGGTCGCAAAAGAAGGCAATGGGACTGCTTGGACACTGGAACCATCCTAAGGACATGCCAGTTGCCAAGCGTTGGCATTTTGACCTCATGTCCATGGGGATGATGCTGCCAGGGTCATAGATGTGGGGAAAAAATGGCTGTTAAGCCCCGTTTTCTAGTGCTGTGGCAACTTTGAACGGTCTTTAAACGAGTGGCTGTAAATCGAGGGATGCCTGTATTCCCCCCCCCCCCGCCGCCGCCAGCTACCGAGTGAGCCGGCGGTGCCTTTGGAGCCGCCGCCCTTGTAGTGTCTAGTTGCCTCTGGTTGTCTCGTCCAAGGAGAAAAGGAAAGGCAGCCGAGTAGTGGAAACTTGGATCCGAGCTCTGATAAACATGCCGATTTTTCCTTCCCTCGTCTTGATACGTGTTCCGTTCTCCTTCCTAAATTAAAGCCAAATGAAAGTTTTTTTTTTTAACAAACGGGGGCCCTGTTTCCCTGTTTTGGCTCTGTGGCTGGCATCCTGCCTCTTGGGTTGAATGGAGAGGGAGGGGCTACACAGGAGCCCACGCCCTCTTTCCTGCTGGGTTCACTGGGCCCCACCCATGGAGCCCCCATCCCTGCCAGCCGTTTGCCCCAAAGCCTGGCCACTGGGGGTCCGTAGCCCAGCCCAGGAGGAGGAGGAGAAAGCAGCCTGCGGTGCCCACCGCAATGTGGATATTCTCCTCCGTTGTGCTGCATAAAACGTGGCCAGTGTCTTTTTTGCAAGCCGACCCACACAACAACCTCTCGTCTGGCTTCGTAGTTTTTTCTGTGGGTGCACAACCCCCTCATCCCGGATCCGGGGCTGAGTTTAAGCATTCTGGAGCAGGGCTCTCAACCGTCGGAAGTCCACAAGTCTTAAAAGTTGCCAAGGTTGGAGTCCCCTTGGCAACATGCCAGGGCATGGCGTGGACGGGTCTTTTTTTATCGCTGCGTTTCTATCCTGCTTGACTTTTCCCATCTCCAGACAGTTGGATGTAATCAAACGTTCGGCCTGTTTAATGCCACTATAAATACACTGAAGTTCTGGCTGAGGGTGAGTGTAGCTGAACGATGCCAGGCAGGATAGACCCGTGAGGGCGAACCTATGGCACGCGTGCCGGAAGTGGGAGGTCGCCCAGAAGAGCCCCACTGCGCATGCGCGTGACCCCCTCGCCGGCCAGCTGATTGTTGGGTATCTGCTGTGCATGCGTGGGGGGAGATGCACGCAGAGGAGATGCGCAGAGGCATGTGCCGTGCCGGGGGGGTGCGTGCCACATGCACAGAGGCGTGCGGGGGTTCATGCCTGCATGTGCAGAGGCGCATGGCACGCATGTGCAGGGGGGCAAAGGGAGTCGCGCACGCATTGCATCATGGGCCTGGCATGCACACACTCTTAGCACGCAACGTTCGCCATCACTGGGATAGACCCCGGTGTTCCTCAACCTTGGCCACTTTTAAGATGTTCTTAAGTGAGACGCTCCGAGAGCACCAGTTGAGCCCCGAGCCACAACTATTCTCTCTATTGGCACAAATTCTTAGTTGATTATCATCGCCAACTGCGGAGGTGGGATCTTGGGATACAAAGCATTGTGTCAACTCGTAAAGCATCCCTATGCCTGTTATAGAGTTGCCATAATTTTAGGGGGGGGGGAATCTGAAAGGAGCAGTGCGGGAGTTTAAAACCAGAAGTACATTCCAACACTTATTCTTACAAAGATTGTAGCTAAGCTACCGGGTCTTCTGCCCGTGAAAATCCTCGATTGGAGAACGTGATTGATGACACCCAGCCTGCGAACGTACTTAATTGGAGAATCTGATTTATGACGCACTCAGGGGGCGGGGGGAAAACAGGGTCACAGATAACTGTAAGTTACATATGCCAGAGTTGGCCTCATACAGGTACCCAGTTTTGAAGGCATCTCAGTAGCATTTGTTGGGTTGTTAGCAACTGAGCCAGATTTGCTTTTGATCCGTTTCTTCCCCTTCCTGGTGGGGGAGGCCAAATAGCCGGTCCCACAGATGAAAGGTGGTCCTTCTCTGGATGGGGCATCAGTTGCTTTAAGAGTTTGGTCCAAACTAATTTAAAGTTTCTGCTTCTTCAAGCCTGAATGCCTTGATTTCTAGAATCTGTTGCCTCCAGGTGGCGCCCACAAGATCTTAGGCAATGATCAGCACAGCCAGATGGGGGCGCCAGGTTCCCAGAAAACGCAGTTCTACTCACACATGAACCTGTCGTGGTTTACTTAGCGATTGAATGAATGAATGAATTTCTTTATTGGCCACGTGTGATTAAACACGGAAGGAATTTGTCTTGGTGCAAATGCTATCAGTGTACATAAAAAAAGAAAAAAATACATTCGCCAAGAATCATCAGGCGCAACCCTTAATGATATTCATAGGGTACCAATAAGCAAGCCAAGAGTTGCTGAGATGCGTGAGTGGAGTCATTCTCTGTATCTCTGGGCCTGGGTTCCAATTCTGGTTCATGTTCTGGTGTTTCTGAGTCACGTTCCCTTGGGGATCTTGGGGATCAAAGTCCACCTTGGGAGGCTGCTCCCTCCTGACCCATTGCTGCATCTTCTCCGTCCAGGAACACCAAGAAGGAAGGAGACCTCCTTGCCGCCCAGGCCCGCCTGAAGGATGTGGAGGCCCTGCTCAACTCCAAAGAGGCTGCGCTCACCACGGCCTTGGGGGAGAAGCGCAACCTGGAGGCCGAAGTCCGTGACCTCAGAGGCCAGCTGGCCAAGGTAGGACGGGCACCCCTGTGAGGGTCCCCAACAGTCCCCAGCTGCTCTGCCCCTGGGGGGCCCTTGAGATGGGAGGGGTCCTGTTTCTCCTCCGTCCCGGGTCCATCTTTGGACTACCAGTCCCAAAGGATACCGGGAGGATTGTGTTTGTAAGGTAGGCAATGCCTGTCAATGTCCCTTGTGCAGGAAGGGAGGGGTCCTTCTGCTAGGCCAGGGGTCCCCAACCACCGGTCCGCGGACAGGTACCGGTCCATGGAACAACTCCTACCGGGCCGCGGCTTGCTGGGCGCCGCTATCTTTTTTTTCATGAAAAAGTGCTTCCGGTGAGCTTTTCCGGGTAGAAAGCTCACCGGAAGCACGTTTTCATCAAAAAAAGATGGCGGCGCCAGCGCTTCCGGTGAGCTTTTCCGGGTGGAAAGCCATTTCCGGTGAGGTCACTGGAAGCACTTTTTCATCAAAAAAAGATGGCGGCGCCCAGCTGATGCCGGTACCGGGCCGCGGAGCCCAGCTGATGCCGGTACCGGGCCGTGGCGTCAAAAAGGTTGGGGATCACTGTGCTAGGCAACCACCAGACGTTCACCTCCTTCACGGGCCAGCTCCTGTTCCTGCACACTGCCAACCAAGGCCAAGAAAGAGGGCAGAGCCAGGGTTAATGGGTGGCCCTTATTAGGCTCCCAAAACTGAAGGCAGAACCGGGTGTTCAATTTGCACCTGGTTTGCCGAACCAGTATTTGAACCCACTGGCTGGCCCTGCCCACCCGTCCCCTCCCCTCCCCGGAGTCTCTGCGTGGCCCATTTTCTTTCTTTCTTTTTTGAAAACAGTTTTATTAATTTTAACAACAAACAAAAACACATAAAACATAAAAACATCATCCTTCCTTCATGAGTTTACAGACAGTGTATCGGTTGGTTTACCACTCCTTTTTGTGCATCCATTTCATAGTCTCCATTGTAATTATATTGCATAATAGCTCATATTATCAATCAACAATTATATAGCCTGATATCATTATTAAACAATCATTTGACTATAATTTTATTAATTCATACTTTAACGAGATAACTATAGTTTACTTAATTTATTTTATAGCAAATCATAAAGTCATACCAAGTCTAGCTTAATAACATTTTATAAAGATAGTATCAAAGAAAAAAAAAGAAATATGTATTCATTGTTTCCTAAAGTTCTAAATATTCTATTATTATATTTTATTATCTAGCCATTGATAGAAAAGGTCCCAAATTTCATAGAATTGTTTATCTTCTTGTTCTCTAATTTCAAACGAAATTAGAGAACAAGAAGATAAACAATTCTATGAAATTTGGGACC